CTTCACCAGGATTGTTAATATTTTTCCCACTCCCATTCTCTTCATTATTCAAATTAAGATTCACACACACACACACACACACACACACACACACACTTCCTGATACTGCTATTATCAAGCAAACCAGTGACCTCTGTTGGTGAAATCCAAATAGCCATATTTCAGTCCTTACCTCTCTGGACTTTGCAGCAGCAGGTGACCTGACTGCACACCTGCCCTAAAGGAAAGCCCCTTTAGACTTAATTACAAGACATCACACTTTCTGGGTCCATTGACCTCGCTGGAAGCCCCCTTGCTGGATCTCCCCATCTCCCTGACCCTAAATATTAGAGCAGCCCCGGACTCTTTCCTTCTTCAACTTTGTTTCGTGACCTCATCCACTACATTGGCTTCATCTCATCTAATAGGTTGACGGCTCCCAAATCCGTACCTCCAGCTCCTTCTCCTCTCTGGAAAGACTTTGATGCAAAGGTATACTTGAAATGCCCGTTCCCTGACAAAACAAACAGAAAACTCAAAATATTCAGACTGAACTTCTCCTTTTCTCCCCCAAATCTCTTCCTCCAAGCATCTCAACCTCAGTGATTGGTGCCTCCATTTTTCTGGCTGATCAGTGCAGAAATCTAGGAGTCATCCTTGACCCTTATCTGTCACTCACTCCACACTCCCAATCCATTAGCAACTCTCAGTAGCCTTAACTTCAGAATTCACCCAGAATCTGATCAGGCCCCACCCTCATGCCATCCTGGCTCCAGCCACCATCATCTCCTGCCTGAAATGTTTCACCAGCCCCTTTTCTAACTTCCCTGTTACACACAGACTCTCTGTGCACAGCAGCCAGAGGGATCCTGTAAAAATGAAAAGTGGGATCAGGTTTCTCTTCTGCCTGAAAGTCTCCAGATGCCCACAGTGTCCTTTGTGTGCAGACGTGACGTACACACACGCTGACTTCGCCAAACTCATTTCCTGCTTGTTGGCCATTTCCTCCCTCTGTATAATCACTCAGACGTCCTTGCTGCTCCTCACTCACTGGTCATCTTCCTGTGTCTGATTTTTTTCACCTGCTGTTCCCTCTGCCTGGAGGGCTCTTGGATCACACAGTCAAATTGAAAACTCTTGAGCCTTCTTCATGCCTTTGCTCAAACATCACTAACAAAACCACAAGCCAACCTGCAGAACAGGAGAGAATATCTGCAAATCATGTAACAGATAAGGGGTTAACATTCAGAATATATAAAGAACTCCCACAAATCAACAAACAACCACAAAAATAAACCTCTTAACAAATGAGTACAGAACTTGAATTGGACATTTCCCCAAAGAATATATACAAATGGGCAATAAGCATATGGAAAGATGCTAAACATCACTAATCATCAGAGAAGTGCAAACTAAACTACAATGAGATATCACCTCACGCCCATTAGAATGACCACTATAAAAAAAAAGTAAAGAACAAGTGTTGGTGATGATACAGAGAAATTTGCACCCTTGTGCACTGTTCCTGGGAATGTAAAATGGTGCAGCCACTATGGAAAACAGTACGGAGATTTCTCAAAATATTAAAAATGGAATTGCCATTTGATCAAGCAATTCCACTTAAGAGTATTTATCCAAATGAACTCAAAGCAGAATCTCCAAGAGACATTTGCACACTCATGTTCCCTGCAGAATTATTCACAACAGCAACGAATTGGAAGCAACTCATATATCCAGTGACAGATGGATGGATAAAGAAAGTGTGGTGTATACATAGATCGGTATATTATTCAGCCTTTAAAACGAAGGAAATCCTGTCACATACTACAACATAGATGAACCTTGAGGAAAGCGTATTAAGTGAAATAAACCAGTCACAAAAGACATATACTGCATGATTCCACTAATATAGGATGTCTAGAGTAGTCAAGCCCATGGAGACACAAAGTAGAATGGCGTTTGCTCGGCCGGCCCCGTGGCTTGGTGGTTAAGTGAGCGCGCTCCACTGCTGGCTACCCGGGTTCGGATCCCGGGCTCGCACCGACGCGCCGCTTCTCTGGCCATGCTGAGGCCGTGTCCCGCATACAGCAACTAGAAGGATGTGCAGCTATGACATACAACTATCTACTGGGGCTTTGGGGGGAAAAATAAATAAATAAAATCTTTAAAAAAAAAAAAAAAGAATGGCGTTTGCAGGAGCTGGAGTGGCAGGAGAACTGGGTAGTCAATGGGTGCAGAGTTTCACTTTTGCAAGATGGAAATGTTCTAGAGGTCTGTTGCACAACTGTACACTTAAGAATCCTTATGATGGTAAATTTCTTATGAAATTTTCACTACAAGAAATAAATAAATCCCAAGAGCACTCCACAAGCCATCTCCCCAACTCTCCCTCTTCTCTGTACCCTGCATTTTCCCCAAAGCATACGTCTACCTTGCACATTCTATTCACTTATTTGTTGTTTGCTTGTTTTTTTTTTTTACTAGTTTGATTATCACTCTCTGTCTAGAAAAAAACTTCACTGAGCCAAGATTATAGATATTTTTCATGATGGGTCTCTGTCATCTACAGTACTCGTCACTCTTTAGGTGCTCAATAACATTTCCTGGAGGAATTGATGAATGAAAAGATGCATGTTACCCTGCTGTCTAAACCTTCCAAAGGTGTCACATTCTGAATGCAATAAATAAGTGAAAAGTGTGACATGTCCACCAGAGCATGGAGGATGAACAGGAATGAATGAGTGGAAATGGGGAGTGAAGAACATTAGAGGAGGAACAACCCATGCAGAGACCCAGAGGCACAAGTAACCTTGTTCTGACTGATGATGATGAAAAGTCCAGGTTGGATGGAGTATGAGTGAGGGGTGGGGGAGTGGAGGAAGTGGACTGGACAATAGGGCTGGGGTCAGGGTGAGGCAAGTGAGGCATTTGCCCAAAACGCAAATTTAAAAGGGGAGCTGAAAACCTCTAATTGAGATAAATAATATTCCCGTGCAAGATTTTTTAAATCAATTAAATGCAAAAAAAACCATGGAGAAAGGAAAATCAAAAATTTAAATAACCCAGGATTAGTAAGAATGCCTTTCTGAACCTACTGGAGCCTGAGACAGAGGAAATATGTGTCCCTCTCTCTGTATATTTTCAAGGATTTTAATGGTCAATTTTTTCCAGAACATTAAAATAATTGAAACGTTATTGAAAACCTGAAATGCACAGTGTATTTGAACATTAAGTTTAAAGGTTTTATGGCTCCCCAAATCAGAATTTGTTATAATTTTGGTTTCCTGGCCTTACTGGAAACAAATACAGAGAGAATATTTTCAAAATCTCCTTCTCTGCTCTCTCGTTTTCAGCTGAGAATACTGCCGTGTTGTGACAACTTCTCTTGACCAAGTTATGATCTTAAATTATTATTAAATAACTTCAGTCTACTGATCCTACCATTGTTCGGATTTTTTATATTTTGCTCCTCATGGAATTTTTTCATTAATTTTGATTTTTTATAAACAGTGCATTAAAGTATTATCTCGATTGCTGTTATTTTGGGCCCCTTTCAAAGTTTTGCACTTGGCGCGAGTGCCTCACCCTCCTCACCCTAACCCTGGCCCTTCTGGAGAGGTAGGTGCTGAGAGGCCAGAATATGCAGGGCTGCAGGCTGAGGAGTGTGAGCTTCATTCTCTAGGTCAGGGGTCAGCAAACTACAGCCCATGAGTCAAATCTGGCCCTGTACCTGTGTTTCTAATAAAGCTTTACTGGAACACAGCCACGCTCATTCATTCACATATGGTCTGAGGCTGCTTTCACGCAGCAAGACCAAAGTTTTGTGGCTGCAACACAGACTGTATGGCCCACAAAGCCAGAAACGTTTACTCTCTGGCCCTTGAAAGAAAAACTCTGCCGGCCTCTGCTCTAGGTGATGGGGGCACACAGATGTCCAAATACAGAGGAACTGCACAATGATGATTTTTAGATGATCACTCTGTGTAGAGCAAGGGAGATGAGGGGTCCAGGAAAGAGATCCGGAAGCCTCAGCAATGACAGGGGTCAAAAAGGAGGGAGGGAGACTGATGCTACCTGTTCTTAAGGGGAAACACGGAAAAGACGGGGTGAGTTTTGGCTGTAGCAGAAGAAAGGAAGGACAGAGAGAAGGTGACTCCTCTGATCCTAGCCTGAAGGAAAGAGGAGGGGCTGTCCTGCTGTCAGTGAGATGGGGATTTGACCCTGCGGGAGGAGGAGGAGATGAGGAGAACAACTTTGGCCATGATGAGCAGAGCAATTCAGGGAGCCATCCTGGCAGAGGCATCCAGGCAAGATGCTGGATGGCGAGATACACATGTCACTCACTGAGAGACTTACCTTGTGACTGCATTTGCACCCTCCATGCTTGTGTCCTCCATGCCCACCGCTGGCCTTGCTGCTTTCTTCCTGCAGGACCTCACTCTGAGTGAAGAGACCAGAGAGCCTTTCAGTCTGGCCAGCTCAGGGTGCAGTGGGCACACTGACCCCTCCTCTGCTCTCTCCTAAGGGGCTGGAGGGAAGTCTGAGATGGGAGAGGGATGGTCGCGTCCCAGAGACCCCAGAGTTGAGAACAGGCTCCCCCTTCCCGGACAGTGTGGCCCGGGTTTTCTGACAGAATGACCTGGGTGCCAGGGGTCTCCTTCCTGCCCTTGCTTCAGGCTCTGGACCCACCCAGTCCCACAGCTCTGCCTTCAAGGATCCATGGCTGCCTCCCCTTCCCACCCCAGAACTCTCCCTCCCTCCCCAGGTCCCTGCTCACATGATGACGATGATGCAGAAGGACAGAAAGAGCAGAGTCTTAGCACCAGCCCCCGAGACTGCACCCAGCGCCACTCCTGATAATGGACACGCTTTTCCTGCAGAGGATTGGATTATTGGTGGTTCTCCTCCAAGAGCTCAATTTCTTCTCCTCGCACTCCCCGTAGGACCCCACATTTCTGTGTGCAGTCCACTTTGCCAGAAACAGAAACAGGGACATGGGGATGGGGGTACGAGGTGGTGGGGTTAGGGTGAGTAGAGTGAGGCATACAAGTGCTGGGTTGCAGCTTGTCTTTATTAAGATATTGATATTTTGTTCTTCATAGCATTTATTTTATGTTTATTTTTTTAAAAAATATTGCATTTCAGTATTATTTCTTCTGATTACTATGATTTTTTTGGCTTCTCTTTAAATTTTGTGGCCAGGGTAAGTTCTACACTCGACTGACCCTCCTCCCAGCCCCAAAAAGCAAGGACCTTATGTACCCAAACACACCTGTTCAGGCTCCAGCCCCTCTCCTCCAAGACCCACCTCCTTCCCTGGCTCCCCTTCCAGCCTTAGCCCCACCCCACAACACTGGTCTGGCAGGAAGACGACAGTGACACTCTGAGTCCCAGGGAATTTCCAGGCCTCACAACCCAGCACAGACCAGAGCTGAGCTCCCCTCTGAAGCTCAGGGGGCTGCTGGGTGGACTGTGGGGTGGGGTGGGTGCTGTCCTCATCCTCCAGCCCCTCCCCCATCCACCGGTGCACTCACTCTGCAGAGAGAGGCTCAGGGAGACGTGCAGGGAGCCCCGAGGGTGCTGAGCTTGGCAAGTGAATTCGCCTTCATGACTTGACTTCACGTGGGGCAGCTCCAGGACCCCAAGGTTTGAGGGCTGTGATGGCTTCAGGGTCTGGCTTCCACGGGCCCAGCTCAGCTTGGCTGGGGGGTTGCTGTCAACAATACAGACCAGGCGCAGGGACTGGCCCTCCAGGACTGCAAGAGATGAGCCATTCTTCAGGATTGTGGGTGCTGGAGAAGAAGAGACAGAAGGTCAGAGTGAAAAAGTGATCCAAAGAGGAAGGATGCAGAAGGAGGCAGGATGAGGACAGACACAGAGATATAAGCTGAAGAGCAGGAAAATGCTCACTTTCACCCCTCTCTTGTGGGACTGTAAACTTGCCCACCCTCCTTGCAGAACAACTTGGCCACATCTCTCAAAATTGGAAAGAGCATTTGAAACAGCTATATTTTGCTTTTTGGAACTTTTCCCACAGATTTGCACACACACTTGTGAAAGGAGACACAAGATTGTTCATTGCAGCATTTCTGTTAATAGAATAAAATGAACGCCATGATTTTCAATTAACAGAAGATGCATATAAATCAGAATCCAGCCGGCCCATGGAATACTGACAGTCACGGAGAAGAATGAGGAGAGTCTGTATTACTGATGTCAAAGGACCCCGAAGATCCTTTAGGTGAACAAACCAAGGCTCAGAGCAGCCTATGGACACTGGTCACTTCCGAGGGATGGCCTGGGCATCTGAGGACAGACTCTGCTGTGAATTTTGAATTTTTGAGCATGTGAGTATGTTACCTGTTCGAAAGTACTTAAATAAGCATCTGGAAGGGAAAATTAAAAGATAAAGCTGGGAGAGTCATCAAGAGACAAACAATAAGGGGCCTCGAGACGCGAGCTCTGCTGTAGGAATGTTGCCCTGTTCTCCTTGAGGATCTGAGGGAGATCGAGAAGTCTGAGGAGAGTGAGGGGTCAATGGGGGCCATGGGGGCTGAGGATGGGAGGGGCCACTGGCATCACCCACAAGGGGTGCTCTGGTCACCACGTTGAGTCCAGCGTGAGTCAGGGACCCTGGAAAGGGGCTCCTTCCTACCTGTGCTGTTCCCTTGGAAGACAGTTACAGTCAAGTTCTGTGGAGAATCTGGGACAGAAAGACAAGGTGGACCCGTGTGAGTGGTGAGGGCTGTATGGACATCGGCCCTTGTCCCCAGGAGCTGCATAAATGGGGGAAGGGTGGAGGCAGGCATCCTCAGGACCCTCTCCCAGCCTACATTCTGGGACCCAACACCCAGTGTCCAAGGCCATCACATTTCCATCCCCATTGCACACAGGACCCCATCAGGGACTGGGGCATCCTGGCGCAGCACTCACAGGACACGTTGAGGTGGATGGTACTCGTCCTGGTCACTCCAGCCCTAGGCAAGGTCACCTGACAGGTGAGGCTGGTGCCATGGTCCTGGGGCCGTGGGGTGAGGGTGAGCACCGAGGAGAGTTGGGTCCTGGGGCCCAGGGAGGTGAGGGCAGCTGATGTCCAGGAGAAGATGGGGGGTGTGCCCCGCTCACAGCCCCACGGCACAGAGCAGGTCACGTTCCTGGGGTGGCCGGACTCCAGGGTCCCCGAGATGAGGATCTCAGGTGTCTGAGTGAGGGCTGGTGGGAGAGAAAGAGACTTGAGAATCAGTAGGGAGGGTCTGAGGTGCAACCATGAGAGTAGACTCAGTCTTCAGTCTAGCTCCTGCCTCTAAACTCTGACCCGCTGTACCCCCAACCCCAACCAGGAGAAGAGTCTTATCCCAGTCGTGTCCTGGGACTCCTGTGTGCTTACCCTGTGGTCTCTCCTGGAGCCCCCTCCTTACCCATCACACGCAAAGAGACATGCTTCTCTTTGTAATTATATTTTGTTCTTCCTCTCTCCACCCAAAAAAAGTATGTTCCGTTGTCACTCCTCCTGGCGTCTCTGATGTCCAGGGAGCAGTTGGAGGTCTGGGAGTCCCAAAGGAGGTGGAATCGGCCCTGGGTGTCCTCCTGTGCTTTACGACCTGGGTTGTTTGTGGCCACTAGAACGTCTTGGTCTGTGTTGGCCCCTTCCCGGAACCAGTAGCCATGAGCTGGGGTAGAAGTAGTCCAGCGATCCCGAGGGTAGGAGACAGTGCAGGGCACCCGCACACACAGACCCTCCTGCACCCTCACTGACTCTTGCATTGGCTGCTTGTAGCCCTTGTAATTTTTTGAGGGCTCACTCTGGCCCTCAGCCCCCTCCCTCCACCAGAGCAGGGCCAGCAGCAGCAGCAGCAGCAGCATGTCTGGGGTTGGCAGTCTCAGGTTCCACCAGGGGAAGTCTGTTTCTCAGCGTTCTCTATCGGGAACTAAAAGTTGCAGATTTAGAGGAGGCTCTTACAAGAAGATGAGGGTCAGGTCAGAACAGTGACCCTCCTCAGAGGAGGAACTTCACAGCCAGACACAGCTGGGGCTGGGACAGCTCATGGAGTCAACCATCCACCACCCGTCCAAGTCCACTCCTGGGGACCCTGGGCCAGAGAGGGTGAGATCCCCACCCACATTCACACCTCATGCAGGACGTGAGTCTCATCTCTGGCCTTTCAGTTGATGACTTTCTCCTCAAGAGTACATTTTCTGTAAAGTAAAAGTGTGTCTCTTCTAATCAGATCTCCTATTTCAAGCCTATAGATATTTCTGGAGTTCAATCCAGTCAGGTGTGCAACTCAGGGACAAAGGAGATGAAGGTAGCCAATTGTCATCCCTCCCTCAGCATCCACGTGATGGGCATCTTCTCTTGCTCATGAGGTCACACACCAGCCCTGGATGCTGCCCTGAGAGTCACTGTCCATTGGGGAGACAATTGGTATCCCGGCACCAGAACCTCCCTGTGATGGGAAGACATGGAGACACGTGTAGAAGACACAGAGTGAGTAACGTTAGCATGGGGATCATCAACTCTCAGGGATGGTGAGGACTTCCTGAGGGAAGACTCACACACCTGAATTCACAGAAGGTTATTTTTAACTGTGTGGTGGGGGCGGGGAGGAAGCGGTGGGATCCTGGAAGGTGATGCCTCCTCAGACCCATGTCGATTTTCTTGAAATATTTTTGGGCAAAACATAAGACATACAAAGAAGTGTCCCCAAAAGAACAGCTCAGCGATTCACCAAAAATGAATGCCTTTCAAGAAATATAATGTTGGGAGCACCCAGGACCTCCGCCTTGGTCCGCCTCTGTATCCTCACGCCCCACTCTACCCAAGGAGCCCCAGCCTCACTGTAATGCTACCTTATTCCTTTATTTTGTCTATAGTTTTATCATGCAAGCATGCTGCCTTTAATACCGTGGCTTTGCACACGCTGTTCTCAAGACTTTGTATACATAGAAAAAATTACAGTTTGTTTTCCTCTATTCAACTTCATGAATCTGCCCATTCCATATTACCCTCTTCCCAGAACTATCGCCGAAAACCAGGAGTCCAGTCAGTACTGTGATCATGGAGAAGGAAGGTGCAGGGTTTCAGCCTGCATAGGTGCTCCCACACCATCACCATTTCCTGCATTTTCAGCTGGAATCTCAGCCTGCAGCCCTATCCCCCCGCCGGGCCCCATTGTCCTGGCCACTCCCTCTCTCCCTGCTGGGACAGTGGCAGCATCTGTGATGAGAAAGGCTTGCCCATGCTCTGCCTGTTTCCCATGGTCCCCAATTTGCAAAGAAAAGCAGAAGGGGGAGGAGAGACATGAGGAAGTCACAGAGAATCTGTGTGCAAAAGAGGAACTAGGACCGACAGGCCATCAGAGCTGGAGGACCTTCTAGTCCCAGTTCTCCAGTTTGCAGAAGAAGGAAAGGAGGTCCAGAGTGGACAAATGAATCGGCTGAATCTCACAGCTGCCATGTATTATGTGCCATTGATTATACTGGAACCCACTTCAGCAATTTTTGTCTGCCCAGGTTTCGTTGGGCTGGAAGACAGGAATCTTACTTAATCGGAAAGGGAAGAATTGTCAACTCATCCCATGAGGTGAGGGAGGAAATTTCATTTGTTTAATCATTCATTCATCAAACATCTATGTGCACTGTGCCTTCAATTTTCCAGTAAAGGGGTGAAATGACAGACCTAGCCCTTGCCTTTGAGGAGAACAACAAGTGGTTGGGACAGACAGGTAACCTAACAATTCCAGTGCCATAAGAGAGTTGGCTCTGAGGAGTGAAGCCCACCTGGTGTGGGAGGGGCTCTTGCTCTTCTGGACTGGAAGGTGAGTCTCAGGGAGGACTGGGCCAAGTAGACATGGTGAAAACACTCAGGCAGTCACGAGGGATGTGAATTCCACATGTGACCCTGGTACCCTGGGAATTCTTTGACTCTCAGGTATTATGTTCTCAATCCCACTCACTCCCCCACTGTGCTGGAGATCCTCTGCCAGCTACCAAGTTCTGTGCTCTGTTTGTGATCAACCCCACCTCCGCCTCAGCAGGGGTCAGGCCACCACTCATAGGGGGTGCCCCCTCTGTCTGTCGAGGACTTACCTGGCTCCTGGAGATCCCTGGGAAAAGACCAAGGTGCTGTCCGTGGCGCTGAATCAGAGCTAAGTGCTGACTTTGGAGATGTCTGCAGCTCTGTAGGGGGGCCTGATAACATATCACAGGGACCTTATGTTTGGAGTCAGGAGTGTCAAGGTATCAGATGTGCTGGGAAGGGCTCAGGTCTACCTTGCAGGAGGGGCTGAGGGAAAGGGAAGATCTGTACTTCCCCTCCTTGCCCTGTCCACCCTCAGCAATGTCCTGTGAACAATGCCAGGCTATTGTCACTGGTCCCAGTGCAGGGAAGGTGAAGGCTCTATGCTGACCCTTTACATCTCTGTTCCCATTTCATTTTCCCAGCATCCCTGTTAGAGAGGGGTAATCCTTTCATCAGACAGAGGAGGGAGCTGACACTCAGCCAGGTGAGTAGCCATAGCAGCTAATCTCCAAAGACGACCCCAAACAATCCCGTCCTCCTTTATACAAACACAGTGCTCCTCTCCTTACAAGATGCAGTTTGTTATTATTATCTTCTCCTCTTGAACCTACATTGGGTCCGTGACTGCATGACCAATGGAATATGGATGACAAGATGTTCTGAGAGTCATACAGCTCAGACATTAAGAAGGCCTGGCAGCTTCCACTCCTGCCCCGTGGATCTCTGGGCATCTGTGTAAGCAATCCAGGGGACTCTGATGGAAAGAGAGGCTAAGTAGAGGAACCCTGAGGGGTCAGACATCCAGAACCAGTCACTGCCACCATCCCAACAGAACTGCCTGAAAGAGCCCAAAGCAAAACTAGGAATGAATCTACCCAGCCAGGCTCTGGCCAATTTATAGCTCTGTGAAACAGGATAAAATGATTGTTTTGGCCACTGAGATTTAGAGTGGTTTGATCATCAGAAAAAGATGAATGAGACAGTAACCACAAAAATCATAGCCAATATGGAAAAAGTAAACCTGACAAATGTTTCCTCATACTGTATTTTAAAAATGACTTTAAGAGGGTTATCTGAAGACTTCTGTGAAGATACCTGTGGAGTCTTTGCCAGGCTGGACTACATTTCCCTGAATCTCCTTCCCTATTTGTTTCCAGGTTAAATTTAGCCCACAGAGAAGGGAGAATTTGAAGCCGCAGCCACGAGGCTCTGAGGGTCAGTGGAGGGGCAGGTGCTTTTGCAGCTGTCACAAATCATCCCTGATCTGTTGGCTCATCTTGCTGGCGAGACACAACAGCTGCTCAACTGCTGGGAGGCAAGGAATGTGGTGGGGG